CTCTCTCACTCTCTCCCTCCCTCCCTCCCTCTCCTCCTCTCTCCTCTCTCTCCCTCTCTCTCTCTCTCCTCTCTCTCTCTTTGACACCGATAGAGAAAAAAAAATCGAAAAAAATCATAATTTATTTCCCTCCACCTTTCTTATTTCCCAACTTACTGCCTTAACTCACAACTCTATTAACTTAACTCTACTTAAACTCTCTCATAAGTGCCTCACAAGAACCATAAACTCTACGTAATGTGAATATGGGAGTCTGGGGTGACCTTTTCCTCTCTATGCCTCTTCTATATTCGTTTTTTTTTGTTGTTTGTGTGTTGTTTTTCTTTCTTTTTGTTGTTGTTTTCTTTTTGTTGTTTGTTTGTTGTCTTTTGTTTTTGTTTTGTTATTGTTTCTTTGTTGTTTGTTGTTGATATTGTTTTTCTTTTTTTGTTATTGTTTCTTTGTTGTTTGTTGTTGATTTTGCTGTTTTTCTTGATTTTTTTGTTCTGTTGGTTGTTTTGTTGTATGTATTCTTCGAGTTTTTTTATTATTATTCTTTTCTTTGTCTTTTTTCATTTTTCTTCTATTTCTTTGTATTTTCTTTCTCCTTTTTCGTCTCTGTTTTTCGTTTATATATTCTTGTTTCTTTTTTTTTTTCTTCTCTCTCTCTCTCCTCTCTCTCTCTCCTCTCTCTCTCTCTCTTCTCTCTCTCTCTCTCTCTCTCTCTCTCTCTCTCTCTCTCTCTCTCTCTCTCTCTCTCCTCCCTCCTCCCTCCCTCCCTCCCTCTCTCTCTCTCTCTCCTCCCTCCCCTCTCTCTCTCCTCTCTCCTCCCCTCTCCTCTCTCTCCTCTCTCCTCCTCCTCTCTCTCTCTCCTCTCTCTCTCCTCTCTCCCCTCTCCCTCCCTCCCCCCTCTCCTCTCTCTCTCTCTCTCTCTCTCTCTCTCTCTCTCTGACACCGATAGAGAAAAAAAAATCGAAAAAAAATCATAATTTATTTCCCTCCACCTTTCTTATTTCCCAACTTACTGCCTTAACTTACAACTCTATTAACTTAACTCTACTGAAACTCTCTCATAAGTGCCTCGCAAGAACCATAAACTCTACGTAATGTGAATATGGGAGTCTGAGGTGACCTTTTCCTCTCTATGCCTCTTCTATATTCGGTTTTTGTTCTTTGTGTTTGTTTTTCTCCTTCTTCTTGTTGTTGTTTCTTTGTTGTTTGATGTTTTTTTTTGTTTTTTTTATGTTTCTTTGTTGTGTTGATTTTTTATTGTTTGTTTGTGTTTGTTGTTGATTTTATTTTTTTTCTTGATTTTTTTGTTTTTTGTGTTTTTTTTTTGTTCGGTTAGTTATTTTGTTGTATGTATTCTTCGAGTTTTTTTTTTTATTATCATTATTCTTTTCTTGTCTTTTTTTTTCATTTTTCTTCTTCTTTCTTTGTATTTTTCTTTCTCCCTTTTTTCGTTTCTCTTTTTCGTTTATATATTCTTGTTTCTTTTTCTTTTCTCTCTCTCTCTCTCTCTCTCTCTCTCTCTCTCTCTCTCTCTCTCTCCTCTCTCTCTCTCTCTCTCTCCTCTCCTCTCCCTCTCTCCCTCTCTCCATCTCTCCTCTCTCCTCTTCCCCTCTCTCCCTCTCTCTCTCTCTCTCCCTCCCTCTCCTCCTCCCTCTCTCCCTTTCTCCTCCCTCTCTCCACTCTCTCTCTCTCTCTCTCTCCTCTCCTCTCTCTCCCTCTCTCCCTCTCTTTGACACCGATAAGAGAAAAAAAAATCGAAAAAAATCATAATTTAATTCCCTCCACCTCTCTTATTTCCCAACTTACTGCCTTAACTTACAACTCTATTAACTCTCTTTCTCTCTCTCCTCCATCTCTCTCTCTCTCTCTCTCTCTCTCTCCTCTCTCTCTCTCTCTCTCTCTCTCTCTCCCTCCCTCTCTCCCTTTTCTTTTCTCTTCTCTTTGACAAACCGTAGAGAAAAAAAAAAAATCGAAAAAAAAAAAAATCATAATTTTATTTCCCCTCCACCTTTCTATTTTTCCCTTAACTTACTGCCTTAACTTACAACTCTATCAACTCTCCTCTCTTTCTCTCTTTCCTCCATCTCTCTCCCTCTCTCTCTCCTCTCTCTCTGTCTTTTGACACCGATAGAGAAAAAAAATCGAAAAAAAATCATAAATTTATTTCCCTCCCACCTTCTTATTCCCAACTTACTGCCTTAACTTACACTCTATTAACTCTCTCTCTTTTCTCTCTTCTCCATCTCTCTCATCCCTCTCTATCTCTCTCATCTCTCTCTCTCTCTCTCTCGTCTCTCTCTCTCTCTCTCTCTCTCTCTCTCTCTCTCTCTCTCTCTCTCTCTCTCTCTCTCTCTTCTCTCTCTTCTCTCTTCTCTCTCTCTCTCTTCCCTCCCTCCTCTCTCTCTCTCACTCTCTCTCTCCCTCTCTTTGACACCGATTGAGAAAAAAAAAAAAAAAAAAATCATAATTTATTTCCCTCCACCTTTCTTATTTCCCAACTTACTGCCTTAACTTACAACTCTATTAACTTAACTCTACTGAAACTCTCTCATAAGTGCTCGCAAGAGAACCAGAAACTCTAACGTAATGTGAATATGGGAGTCTGAGGTGACCTTTTCCTCTCTATGCCTCTTCTATATTCGTTTTTTTTTTTGTTTTTGTGTTTGTTTTTCTCCTTCTTTTTTGTTGTTTCTTTTGCTGTGTTGTTGTTGATATTGTTTTTCTTTTTTTGTTATTGTTTCTTTGTTGTTTGTTGTTGCTTTTGCTTTTTATGTTATTGTTTCTTTGTTGTGATTGTTTTTTTTTTTTTTTTCTTTTTTATTGTTTCTTTGTTGTTGATTTTTCTTTTTTTCTTTTTTATTGTTATTTTGTTGTTGATTTTTTTTTTCTTTTTTTTATTGTTTTCTTTGTTGTTGATTTTTTCTTTTTTTTTTTTTCTTTTTTATTTATTTTTTTGTTTTTTTTCTTTTTTATTGTTTCTTTGTTGTTGATTTTTTATTATTGTTTCTTTATTTAGACTTTGCTTTTTTTATTATTGTTTATTTCTTGTTATTTTTTCTTTATTGTTTCTTTGTTGCTTGTGTTGATTGATTTTTTCTTCTTGATTTTTTGTATTGGTGTTTTGTTGTATGTATTCTTCGAGTTTTTTTATTATCATTATTCTTTTCTTTGTCTTTTTTTTCATTTTTCTTCTTTTTCTTTGTATTTTCTTTCTCCCTTTTTTGTCTCCGTTTTTCGTTTATATTTTCTGATTTCTTTTATCTTTTCATCTTGTTTTTGTTTTTCGTCGCCTTCCTCTCCTCTCTTTATTCCTTGCCCTCTTCTCCTTTTTATTTTTATCTTTCCTCTCCTTCATTCTTCTCAGTCTCTCCCTCCTCTCTTGTTTTTTTATTTTTTATTTATTTTTCTCTCTCTCTTCTCTTCTATTTTTTTTTTTTTTTTTTTTTTTTTTTCTTTCCTTATTTCCAGTTTCTTGTCACTTTTTTCTTTGTCTCCTCCTTCTTCCACTTTCTGTCCTCTATTTTTTCCAGTTTCTTTCTTTTCGTTTTCCATCTTTTTGTTGTTCTTTTTCTTTTTGTCTACGTTTCCTTTCTTTCTTTCTTTCTTTTCCTTCGTTCCTCTCCTTCTTTCCCTCCCTTTATTCCTTCCTCCTCTTCTTTCTCTTACTTCCTTCCTTCCTTTCTTTCTCTCTCTTTATTCCTTCCTCCTCTTCTTTCTCTTCCTTCCTTCCTTCTTTTCTTTCCTCCTTCCTTCCTTTCTTTCTCTCTCTTTATTCCTTCCTCCTCTTCTTTCTCTTCCTACCTTCCCTTCTTTCTTTTTCACCCTTCCTTACCCGCCTCCACTTCCTGTATCATTCCCTTTCCTTCCTTCCTTTATCCTTCCTTCTTTCTCTCTTTTCCATCCTTCCTTCCCTTCCTTCCTTCCTTCCTTCCTTCCTTCCTTCCTTCCTTCCTTCCTTCCTTTCCTTCCTTCCTTCCTTCCTTCCTTCCTTCCTTCCTTCCTTCCTTCCTTCTTTCCTTCCTTCCCTCCTTCCTTCCTTCCTTACCACCCTTTCTTCTTCTCCCTTCCCGTGTGATGACGTAGGAGGAGGTAGAGGAAGCGAGAGAGAAAGAAGAGGAACAGAAAAAGGGTATGGAGAGAGAAGGAGAGAGGAAGAGGTGGAGAAGGAGGGAGAAGGACAGAGAGAAAGAGGAAAGGAGAAAGAGAGTAAATAGAAATAAGATAAAAGTAGATAGATAAAGGATATTCAAAGAAAAAGAAAGAGAAAGAAGTGGAGAAGGAGGGAGAAGGGCAGATAGAAAGATAAAAATGGAAAGAGAGAAAGAAGAAGTAAGATAAAATTAAATAAGTAAAAGGTATTGAAAGAGAATATGATAGAAACTATATGAAAAATTAACAATAAAATTAGATAAATAAAGGATATTAAAATAGATGATTGAAACTATCTGGAAAAAATGAACAATGAAATTAGATAAATAAAGGATATTTAAAGAGAAGATAATTGAAACTATCTGAAAAAAAAATTAACCCCATCCTATACCCGAGCAGAACAAAGAACAAAGATATAACAACAAGAACAAAAACAGCTGATCAGAATTTAACGAGCCGGTGACCTAACACATGGCAGTCACCATTAACAAAACTCAAACCGAAAACAGAACAAAAACAATAACTATAAAAAAGGAAAAAAAGAGAAGAAAACATAATATACATACTTGGTCGTCCTTAGCGGGGTTTTGCCTGGATCGACAGAAGGAAAAAATTACTCTGAAAAAAGATATAAAGAAAATTTAGATGCTATCTCTGGGTCGAGAAATGAATAAACGATAAATAAACGGAGACACAGAGACGGATAAACAAAGCCACGACATAATAAAAACCCGTAATAACATCACGCGATCTGAACCGGTTCATCTTAACGGGGTCTCCCGGGCGATCTGAAGGAGTCCAGACGTCCGAGTTAACGGGGTTCGCCTGCTAGTAGGATGCTCCCGAGTCCTGTGACATTCTCAGGCCAGGGACACGCCCGCCGCGCCCCCACGCTGGAATACCACTCTGTCTCCACTTACTCTCCACTTGCCGGTCCACTTAACGGGGTCTGGACGCTGGCGGGTGAGAGCCGGGGGAGGGGGTACAAGGGGGGTGATGGGGCCCTCGGTGGAATAAGGGGTCGCTAGGGTTTTGCGGGGTTGGGTATGTGTGGGATGGGGTGGGGTTGTGGTTATGGGGTGGTGTTGGGGTCCTCGGTGGAATAAGGGGTCTGTGGGGTGTGGGCTAGGGTTGTGGGTTGTGAGGGATGGTGGGGTGGTTGTGGTTATGGGTGGTGTTGGGGCCCTCAGTGGAATAAGGGGTCGTGGGGGTTTTGCGGGGTTGTGGGTGTGGGTTGGGGGTTGTGAGGGATGGTGGGGTGGTTGTGAGGTTGGGTGGTGTTGGTAGTGTTGTGGGTTTGGTTGTGGGGTCTTGTGTTCGTCTGGGTTGTGGGTTTAGTTATTGATGTAAGGGTTGGGTTTTTTTCTTTCTTTCTTTCTTTCTTTTCCTATTTTAGAGGATATCCTTGTCATCTTTTTTTTAGCAATTACTATTACATTATTTTTATTTTTCCTCCCCCACCTGCTCCTATTACTACAACTATTACTGCTATTACTTGGACAATTACCACCACCACCACCACAACTATCACTATTGCCACTACCACAACCCTAATAATGAAATAACAACACAACTATTACAACCACTCTTCTTACAACAACTACCAAGACCCCAACCCCCCAAAAAAAACAAAATATTCCACAAATTTCCAAAACAAAAAACAAAAAAAAAAAATCACCTCTCGTGTTTTTATTTTAGGTCACACGTTCCGCAGATTCTTGAATCCTTTTAAGAGCCATTCTGTTTTGCTACGACACCATACCAGCTGACAGCACGTACACCGGGACACTATAGACACTATAGATTTATTATCTGGCACCTGGTATTGAACATGGCATCTTAAGCTCCTGGTATTTGCATAATTACAAGTTATGGTGTCTTGATCCTCAATTTGGTGTGGATCACTGTACATCAT